TAATTGTTGATTTTAATAAAAAAAAAAAAAAGAACAATTTTATTTATCTAATTGATTTGAGGTCAATTATAAAAATTATTTTGTTAATTTCTTAATGTCCATAAATGCCGTTGCACTTTGTGCACAAAATTGTCTGCATGGTAATTAAGGCTTGTTAATATAATTAAGTCCTTCTTGGGCAACCGACCTGAGATAAAAATATATCAATCGCACGAGTAAAATTTCCTTTAATATATTTTCTTACATTTATATTCTTAGTAAAACACCTAACCACAAATTGATTAAGCACTACAAGAAAATTCATTTTTTGTGACAAAAAAAAATGTCTAAAAAGATGTCGCGAATATCTTTTTTGTGACAATTTTATTTCGTCGCGTTGTCGTTATAATAGCCTCATCGCAAAAAACACTTTGCGACGAAATCATATTTCATTGCAAAAACATATTTTTTGTGACACAATATAAATGTCGCGAAAAATAAAAAATACGTCATCAAAATTAAATTCTCACGTCTTTGAAAAAATAATTTTTCTCATAGTGAAGACCAGCTATATATAAGTAGGGTTCTCACTGATATATGAGGTGGATGATTTATCAAGGAAAAAAAATGAAAGAGAAAATATATTAAAAGCGATTTAATTAATTATTTTTTGCACCAGTTCAAATAAGTTAAAAGATCATTATCTCAATATCACAAATGTCATTAAAGGTCAATTTTGTTTCAATCATTTTGATTTGATCGAAATTTATGAGATCATTATACTCATGACGACATATGTCATTAAAAATCAATTATATATCTTTCAATCATTTTGATTTGATCAAAAAATATGAGATCATTATACTCATGATGAAAAATAGCATTAAAGATTAATTATCTTTCAATCGATTTGATAGTAAAATATGAGGATCTTCCATGATGAAAGAGTATTATAAAGAAAATGGGATGGCCAATGGAAACTAGACAATGTTACAAAGATTCCCATTATGTTGTAACAAGTGATATCGAGAGGCATCATAATCAAACATTCCTTTTTTTTTAAAAAGATGTTTTGTTGTCTCATAATATTTGGGAAGTGACTGCTCCAAAAGTGGCTCAAGATAAAAGGTAAAACATAACACATGATGCACAAGGTTTGGTGAAGTTATGAGGAAGTGTGCGGGTTATCATAGAGATCAAGCCAAGCTCTGCATTTGAAAGTTCAAATCTTTTTGCCTTTTTTTTTTTCAGAGTAGCCGATGACTCTCTCTCTCTCTCTCTCTCTCTCTCTCATAGTGACCTAAAGTGTCAAATAATGATTTCAAAATTTCAAGGGAGGAGTAGAAAAATTAATTTTAGGTGGACATTATAATAATTTTTTATTTTTTTCTCCAAATCGACAAAAGTAGGGTCCTAATGAGTTCAAAGGTGAAAATCCCTTGTACTAAGCAATCTTTTGTTTTTTCCCAATCCTTTATTCTCAAGCTTATGGGGTTTATCGGATATTAGTAGGGATAGAGTTATTTTTATCGCTTAAATTGCTTTTTTTACCGTATTTAATTATCTTATTTCAAATTACTAAATTCAATTTATCTATATTCACCTCGTTAGGTATTGAGTTCACCCCATTTGTATTTATTCAATTAAATTATTAAATATATGTCAAAGAACATGAAACAAAAATAATAATTGAAGTGAAATTTTAATATTTCGAGGTGATCTATATTATTTTGATATATTTTTATTGATGCTTTGAAATATTTTGAGGTATTTTAAGATTTTTTGACTAATATTTTGAAAATAATTATTAATTTTTTATTAATTTTATTCTATTTCTAAAATATTTTCATACTGAAATAATACATCAAAACTAATTTTTGATCATTGTCTATATAGTAGGTTAAAATAAAATTAAATGAATTTAATTTTGAATTAGTGAATATAGACATGATGAGTTTAATAATTAATGAGGTGAATATAGATAAAATGAACTTAATAGTAAGATGATTAATTGAGGCGAAAAAAGAACATTTAAGGAGCGGAAATAGGTGAATAGCTCCACCCTATTAGTAGAATATATGGGAACACAGAGACGTGGTTTCACAAAAAAAAAATTATGCTCTATTTTTTATGATGAAAAAAATAAAAAATTGGATGAAAAAAAAGTTGTACAGATAGATAAAACATCATATTTAGTAAAAAAAAAAATATGAATGATAAAAAAAGTAGATGAATGAGATTTCTTTTCAATTAATCAAAATTAATCCAACCAAAAAATAAAAAAAATGTATTATTCTTACTTTTTTTTCTTAAAGAATAAAAAATATATTTCTCCTATTTTTTTGTCCCTTATATTTTATATCTTTACTATTAAACGCAGCGTTCAACTTTTTTGAAAGTGAGATAAAAGTAGAAAGAAATTGAAGAACTAACCCAAATCCATTTGAATGGCAGACCGAATGGTGGTAATTGGTTAGTTTTTTTGAAACCCGCGTAAAGGACTAAGGACCAGAGTCCAAACCCACCAAATTATTGTTTTTTTGATCAAATGACTAGCACTCACACTAACATAGTAGACATGTAAACACACACACACTCCCGGCCCCAGCTGCGACCCTCCCAGACACTGTAGCCCTAGAGACACCTGTCTCAATGAGTAAGGCTGCCGAGCCCACCACCACCAGTTTGTTGTTTGGATAGCAGCAAAAAGATTGAGTTGGATAGCAGCAAAATGATTGAGAAAGTCAAGTCCACTGCTCAACTCACTCAACACGGAATTGGGATATTCTTTGTGTAACTCCTCTTTCTATTCTTGATAATTAGACACACCCACTTTCCTTTCCAACTTCCTTTTACAACTAACAAACTGTCTCGAAATCAGCACGTGGTCCACGCGTTTCCGTGGGAAAACCTTATTAACAGCTATTAACTGTCAGCACTTCTTAACAGCTATTAACTGCCACATGGGTCTCTGTGTTTATGAACTGTCATATTTCATGACGTCACTTAAAAAAAAAAAAAGCCTACGGTGCCGTCAATTTTTTTTTTATTACCATAGGTCTGACATTCATTATTTTAAAAGTTATTTTTATAATTTTATAGGTTATTTTATAATTAAAAAAATTATTACTTTTATTGATAATTTATTATTTTTATGAATATTTTTATCACTATTATCGTAATTATATTTACCATTTTTTTTCTATACAAAAAAATTTATCACTTTTGTTAATAATTTATTATTTTTGTGAGTTTTTTATTATTATTGTGGATATTTTTAAGACAATTATGATAAGTATTTTTATCACTTTTTTTAGTACCATAATAATGATAAAAATACATATAATAATAATAATAAAAATATACACAAATATAATAGATTTTAATATAATACCAAAAATTTATTTGTCAATACCATAAACAAATCGTTTGTTTTATTTGCTGTCTATCTTCCTGGAAATTGAATTCCGTTTTATTAATTAATAATAATCCTTAGCCAAAGTGGACTAAGATTAAATTCTCCTCAATTTTTTTGTCACTACAAATCATGAGTAACACGTAGTGCGAAAGTATACAATATTGAGTATGTAGCAACGACCATTGACTATGATAACAACTGGTACATTGAATTCATTCTGTAGATACACTCTTTTATTACACAACGCAACTTCTTTTTTTATTTATTGTACTAAAATTAAAAAAAAAAAACTCAAAAATTAATAAATTATATTTCAGGAAGTCATAAATTTTATCAAAAATTTATAAATACTTTAAAAAATTTAAGAAGAATTACATTTAGACCATCTAAAATTTATCTTTTAATTACTCAGATCTTTTGATATTTGAAATATTATACACAGACTCTTTAAAGTGTGTATGCATGCGTGTAACACTTAGATTACTGTCGTCAATATCCGTTAGTAAATAACACCCAAATTTCTTGAAGTTTGTACTTAAATTTTTTAAGTTTAAAATATTATACTTAAACTATATATATATATATATATATATATATTTTTTTTTTTTTTGGGTGGGGAGAGGGGGAGGGGGAGGGGAAAGGGGAAGAGAGACTTGAACCTTTGACCTCAATAAGACAAAATCTTTACAAGATAAGGAGTACCATTGATTAAAAATAAAAAAAAATATTAAAATACTTCAATCAAAGATAAAATATTAAATATTTTAAATTTTATAACCAAAATTTATATTCTATTGTATCATTTATTAAAATAAAATCAAAAATAAAAATCTATTTTTTCTTAAAAAATCATAATTTAGTATATAATTATACTATCTATTGGAATAAAACTAAAAAATCAAACAAAGAGTCTAAGTTATTAATAAATAAAACATAAATTTTACCATTAAAATTAATGTTCTATTATGTCATTTATTAAAATAAAATTAAAATTAAAAATCTAATTTTTATTTAAAAAATCATAATTTACATACAATTATATTATCTATTAAAATAAACTAAAAAATCAAACAAGGGGACAATTATATTATCTATTACACGCATATAAATTTTAAGAGATTTGAGTATAATTTATTAACAAATATACTAATGAACATTGATAATAGGGGTCTAAATATTCTATGAGTGCAAATTCCAAAGAGTTTATATATAATATTTTAAAAATAAGAGATTTAAATAATTAAGTGAAGTCTCAATGTGATTTTTCAAAAAAAAAATATGATACTAATTTTTTTTGGATACGATAGTCTCCACTTGTCACATCACCACCACCACACGTGTTAGACACAAGGAAGTTTAGAGCTTAGATTAGACCTGAAAACAGAATGAACAGCTGGTTTCATGTCATTCTCTACTTTGATTTTCTTTTCAATTTGTCACAACCGTGGGCGCCCAGCTGGCTTCTTATCATCTCATTCCGTGTTTTGCCCCCCCCCCCCCCCTCTCTCTCTCTCTCTAACACCACACACCACACTCAGATTATCATATTATAATGACAATTATATAATATATATATATATATATATATTCATTCGCATAGAAACTTAATTTCATGTGCCCCAAAAGCAGGACTTGACTCAAGTGAGCTCTCAGTAGTACTAGTAGCACGTACAGCTTCTAAGCCCTCAAAAAACTTCACTTTTAGCAATGGATATTTTCTCAAACTACTATTCTGACCCAATTCCAAGTGGGTCAGATTTCTGGTCCCCGGAAATTCCAGAATCATCGGTGTCCGATGGTGGTAGCACCTGCAGAGTCAATCATTCCGATGAGGAGGTGTTGTTAGCTTCAGATCATCCTAAGAAGTGTGCCGGCAGGAAAAAGTTCAGGGAGACTCGTCATCCGGTGTACCGGGGAGTCAGAAGAAGGAACTCCGGCAAGTGGGTATGTGAGGTGAGAGAACCAAACAAGAAATCGAGAATATGGCTTGGAACATTCCCAACAGCAGAAATGGCGGCAAGAGCTCATGACGTGGCGGCGCTAGCTCTTCGAGGCCGGTCGGCTTGCCTGAACTTCGCTGACTCGGCATGGAAGTTGCCCATTACCTCGTCTATGGATGCTAAGCAGATTCAGAAAGCGGCAGCCGAGGCGGCGGAGGCCTTTCGGCCGTCAAATTCCGATGGGGTCTCCGGCAATGACGCGAAGGAGGAAAGCCCGGTGACATTGTCGGAGAATGTGTTCTTTATGGATGAGGAGGCGGTTTTCGGCATGCCGGTATTGCTGGCAAGTATGGCGGAAGGTTTGATGCTACCACCACCTCCTCTACCTCCTCACTCTCACTGTGTAGGAGATGGGTACAGTGGTGATGACGTGGAATTTGATGCTGACGTGCCATTATGGAGTTATTCGATTTAATATTACTTTATTATTAATCCGTACTTTATTTTTTTTTGTCTAGTATGGATTGATGATAGTTGATATGTAGAATGGATTTTGAAAGATGAGTGAAAACAAAGAATAGATAATTGAAGTTTTGGGGTCAAGATGTTAAGCATCCAGTCAAGGAGTACCTGTTTTGTTGTCTTTTGTTATCACCGGTGGTTGCACGTGAACAAAAAAGCTAGCATAAAGAAATAGATATATCAAAAACAAAGTCATTACAATGGCACAACATGATCTTCTTTCCACATGGCAATGGTAAAGAATGCATTAACCAACACAAAATATTAGGTCGTTACTTACTCTGCTCCCAAAACTTAAGAGAAACATCACAAGAACACACATGCTCAGACTTTGGCTCCATTCTCAAGAATAAGACCCCTCCCTCTTACTTTAAGATCAGTTAGACTGGTCTGCCAAATCAGAAGATACAATTAATTAATTGGTAAACATCATGTGTAGACACAAAAAGGAAGAGCAATAGGGACAATCAATAAAATATTAGGGAAGCATTCAAAACTAAGTTTCCAAGCACCTTCATATGGGTACTCATATGGACCAGTAATTCTTGTTATTTCACTCATGTAAGAGGCACTGATGCAAGAGACCAGTATGCATCCCAATTCAAAACCCACACTCCATGTCTTATTTTGTCCCACAACCTAACTTTTTAAGTCATATGATCTCACAAGCATGGATGCAAAACCCAGAGAATTAATAAAAATGAAAAAAAAAAACTATGAAAGTACATAGTAACTTGGCATTATGTTGAAAAGTTAATATTCTTATTACATTATTTAGGATAAAGGAAATTAGAAAACAATACAATTATAAAATGAACTAAAGAAAGTGTAGGAATTATAATAAATACATCATTAAAATTGGTAGTTAACTAAAATCAAATGAAAGATATTTACAATTGCCCTGATTAAAAAGTGAGGCATGAACCAGATTACGAGTGTCATTGTAAGGACCAAAGGCCAAAATTAACATTCCTTTTGACAACTCAAAAAAATTAAATATAGGCAGAACACATGGAGTCATGGAGATGTTGGCCGAGCACACATGAACTAAACAAAACTCAACTATCTAGCTACACCTAGATACATTTTTTTTCAGATAATTCCATCCGACTATATTAATCATCAGGAGTAGACTCTGCAAAAAAAATAAAAGATTCATCATGAGGTTGTTTAGCTTGAAGACTTTATTTTCCACCCAGTCAAATGCAGCCCTGCTATTTCCTTCCATCCAAATGGGCCACATGAAACATAATGGAACCACCTTTCAAATTATAGTTGAAGTGGAACAAGTAGATGGGCTAACTGTGATTCCTTGTATATTTCTCTTCAGTTCGTCTTCTGCATTTAGAATCTTCAAACCACACATAACATCCTGTGCAACTAAGCAAGCAACCAGCATGTTAATAAAAATTGAAAAATTTTATTTTTTTCTTAGAATTCAGACCGGAAATTTCTCATTCTCGAGTCCAAATCAAATATCACATTAACATGCCAAAGTCGCTAAGACCAAAAGAATGTTAAACCCAATTTCCATAACATATCAAATTTAGACAGAGAATTGAACAACAATTGCAAAAATAAATCCAACATACGTTGGCAGAAATAGAGAAATAGCACAAGTTTTACATACAACAGTTGATGACCAAAGGATAGCTGTACGAAGAAAATAAAGAATATCAGCTTGGGTGTCTTCCAAACTGAGATCTCTTTAGTAAACTTTCTACAATAATGGTGAGCCAAAAAATAAACAGGGGAAAAAGAAGGTTGAATCTTCTGTCTTTAAGCAAGTAAACCATTAATGGACCTTAATCAGAGAGAAATCGAACAACTTGGTAAACAAAAGATTCAATCATCACATCGTAGAAGCCAAACCCACTAAGGTGCCGCCTGCTAGCTACCCCAAATTAGTGATTTTTGGATCAAAACTACAAATTTGGCTTTATAATATCCCAAACAACTTATAAAAAATTTAAAATAGAAACACATTTCTCAAAAACCAATCAAGAACCCACCCTACAAATGAAATCAATTAGAATTTTTCCAAACCTCTCGGCGAATTCCAAGCTGCGGGGTTGAGACACTTCTCCAGAAAATTGGAACAAATCTAGACAGAGATGAGATTGATTGTGGAACTGACCATCCCAAACGAAGGTTCCATCATAGATAGTGATCTGGCCGATCAAGACCACATTATGAGACACATAGACATCGACAATGATATTCGAGACTAACTGCACCCGACAGAATGAGCTTCCTCTTCCTTATGTAGTCCTAATTCAATCGATCATCAGTTGTTTATATGGATTCCTTGGTTTTTTGCGGCTTCGTTGGCGACTGTGTGATGGAGAAGAGGTCGTGACAGTTAAGCTTTTTGAGATAATCAAAGCTGAAATCACCATTAAAAAAGAACTTAAAAGACACTGAAATGGAGAGAATTTAAGACTTACGGAGGGGCTGAAAGCGTATAAGGGGAATCGGTTGAGAATCCATTTATTATAGGAGGCGTAGGGACTGACATTGTATTATTGATCAAATTAAGATTTATATTAAATACAAGTTTAATATTAATAGACCAGTGCAGAATTTGTACCGCCTATAATTAGTAAATGTGAAAGCATTTTTTATGGATAGAATTGATATTGATATTAGGTGTAGTGTTATGGAGGATAAAGATGATATAGTTGTATTAGTGGAAAAATAAAATAAAATTTCAAGTATACTGATATTTTAAAGTAGTATAGATAAATGAATTTAAAATAATGTTTTGAAATATTGAAGTGTGCAAGTTGAATGCTAAAATTATAGTGAACGGACTTTTTTCTCAAAGATAAGTGAAAGTAAATTTACCTATCCTCCTGCAGTAGCTTACTCCACTGCTCCATCTTTACATGGCTATGTTTTTCATCTTTAAGTGCAGCAACTGACCTTCAAAACTAACTCTCCTAGCTTCTCCAAATATTGCCATGGTTGTTGTTGTTTACAACTTAACAGATAAAAAATATCTTCACGTAAACAAGATCATCTAATACAATACCCAATTATTTAAGAACTTGCTTAAATCACATCAGTATAATGCAGCTGGATAGTTTAAACACTTTCAATAGAACATTGCATGGATGAAGTCCAAATTAAATATTACAGTTGATAAAAGAGATGTACCAGAAAATTCATGACACACATTGTCGTTAGAAACCTAAACTCTCTTAAGGCAAGACAAAAACTATCCAAAAGAAAGCATGAGTCCAACACCTCAAAATTTCTTAAAGTAGCTTTTTTTTTCCTAGTGTATCATATAATTTCATTCCTGTCCACTGCGTTGTTCTGGCTAATGACATTAGCCTGATCTTCAGAATAAAAAATGGATGCACGCATGTCAAATAATTGGCTGTCAAAAATTATATTTTATTTCTCTTGATTTCAAAGATAAAAGTTTTTTAACATCAGAGTTCGAGAAAGGGCCAGCGAGTATGTTAGAAAAGAGAGAGCAATAAAACTTCAAATTTTGAGGAGACCTAAACCCATACCCAAAATTTATCCGCTTCGCATAGGCAATGGGGATTGCCACTAAGAAGTCTTCATCATCAGTATCCTCATCACCATGATGATCGATGATATTTTTGTTCCAAACAACCAAGTCCATGCATACAAAAACTCAAACAATAGAATTTGAAAAGACAGCTGCTAAAACCTCAAATAAACACCATAAATTATAGATCCTATACACCCAAATAGCTATTTTCTGGACAATTACCAACATATGAAATTTAAAAGTGCAGAAGCCATATAGAAAGAGGTCTGAATTAGCTGCACATATATATCACAGTGAGTGGCAAATACAACAGATCATAGGACGAACCTTTTTCCCGTTGGGCCGACAATGCTTGGAACAAATCGTTCATGCAAACTTCCGAAGCCATTCGTAACCCCAAGTATATGAAATGCCAAAAATCCTAACTCAAATATGATAAAACCCCGATTGTTCTTTTTACATTTCCAAATTCTACGATAAGCACACCAATTGATCAGCTAATAAAAAAGCATCAAATTCAACTATATAAATTGATGAAATACAACTCACCTTAAACCTTATGCCGCTATACAGGAATGTTTCTCTATTTGTTTGCTAATTCGCCAAAGAAAATGCAATGAGAAACGCAGAGAGGCAAATAGAGAAAGTGGGACGTGTTTAATTGAAGTATGGAAGTCGAAAGGCATTAATCGATTCAAGGTCCAGCTGGTTATGAATAATGTTCGAATATATTCACTTTAGATCAGTTACTATCGATGAAGCTTCCCTCGAGAAAAGGAACGTATAAGCAATGTGAGTAGGCAGGATATAAGAGACATTACCAGTTTTAATAGGGTTAGTTTTGTCAAACAAAAGTTTTTCCTGACATATTATAGTAATATAGATATATATAGATATAAATATAGATATACATAGATTTGTAAAGGCAGTTATATAATAAAAGTGTCTATGTACAAATAATTAGAGAAATGGGTAGTACCCATGTTGCTTAATTGTATGGAAGTTTATAACTGGAACGAGTAAATATTGGGTATAACAGTTATCTCACCCAAGCATCATCTTTGTAAAATAGTAACCGTCACTTAACAAAAAAGTGTGGTTTACTTGCCTATTTATTTATTTATTATTATTGAATAGTTAAGTCACGTGAAAATACTGTTATGATATAACCATTATACCCGATATTTATTTCATCCTAACAAGGACAATTGATTCACACTTATGGTTTAAAATTTAAATTTGACCAATGAACTTGGATTGTATATTCAATCTCTCTATTATAATATTAAGAGTTAATAGCATTTTTAATCTTTAAAGTATATATTTTTTGTTAATTTGATCCTTAAAATATTAATTTTGTCAATAGAGTTCCTAAAATATTTAATTTGTACCACTTTGATCTCTAATTAGGTAATTCGTAAAATTTTTTTGACTAAAATAACCACATATCACTTTTTTAAAAGGTATTATGTGTCTAACACATGATTATTCTATAAAAAAAATTTAACAGTTCGTCTATGTACGGACCATTTTGACACAAATTAAATACTTTAAGGGACTATATTGACAAAATTAATACTTTACAAATCAAATTAATAAAAAATATATAATTTACAGATCAAAAGTGCAATTAATTTTATAATTAAATTTGAAAAGGCAGCCAAAATTGGGAAATCTTTTTCTGTTTGTTTAGTTAGGAGCCGTTGCTTTACCTTAATGACAAATTTGACTTCTTAGATGTGAATGCCATGATTTGAATCCCACTATCATTATCATTGCTTACCAATTAGAAAAACATACCATGCTCTCGAAGTACCTGGGATAAAGGCTGGTGTGACAGCAGAAGATAATTCATTTTTTTGTTAGGAAAAAAAACTTTAATACTGATTTATGAATGGATGGACCAGGCTCGACCTATGTTATAAGTCTGGTCTAAGTTAAAGACCTAATTTTAAGAGATCTAATTAGTTAAGCCCAAAAGAGTCTACACCCGGATAACCTTATCAAGATCAAGGAGCTACATCAGCAGGGGAGGATACACGGTCATCCAAGAGCCTCCTTTACCATCTTGGAGTAATGATCATCCAAGAGCCTCCTCTACACCACCAAGGAGCATCCAGGAGTCTCACCCTCACAGCCTGGAGAGAGTCAACCTCCCTCATCTTTGACCAAGTCCTTTGGAGAACACACCTCGCTCGTTGAAAAGATGATAGATCGCCTCCGTCGGATCGATTATCTAATTACTATCAAACGATCCTAAGCCATAATGACCGTTAGAATAGTCATACAATTACTACGCCAAACCACTATAAATTGTAAGCTCCTCTGACACTTGGGGCATCAGACTCATTTGAGCATAATTCTCTCCTCCTCTCTCAAAGCTTGTAATTATGTGTTCTCCCTCCACACCGGAGATAATAAAATTCCGGCAAACCTAGCCATTCAAAGTAGATGTAGGTCGTATTGACCGAACCACTATAAATCTTGTCTTCTCTCCCCTTCTACTTACTGCATTTTATACTATAACTTGACTAGTGATGTGCAAACTAATTTGTGCATTATCAGTTTGACGCCGTCTGTGGGAACGACAGTTCTCACCTAGCCACTTTCCTTTGCTGAGTCAAAGTCGATCACCAACAGATTCATGAATTAGCCTGAAGATAACCCACCACTAAGAGAGGAGGAGGTTGCTCCTCAACCAACCAATTCTGCCCCAAATGAGTAGCAAATGCTCGAGACCATGCAGCAACTTGCAACCTAGAACCAACAGATCCTACAACTAATGCTCCTTGGGCGTCAAGGAGTTCTCCACATGACGCTCCTCATCTAGGAGGAAGAGCATAGCCTAGACCTCAAGTCAGAGGAGCTCTACGCCCTGGGCGTCAAGGAGCTCCCCACATGGGTGCTCCTCCACCTCCTCTTCCAGCTCCCTCTTTTTATGATGGAGACCCTATTTTTCAAGAGGACGAGGGTGAAAATCAAAGCTTGGAGCATGAGAGCCATATCTATGGTAATTCCAAGGGACCTCCTCCTAATCATTGGGACAAAAAAATTAAGGAGGTGTAGAATCAATTGGGTGATGTTTTCAACACCATGAAGGCACGAGGACCTGAGATAGTGGATTACCTTGTAAGTCAAACTGACACACCTTTCAAACCTGACGTGGCGAACTACCCACTCCCTCAAAAATTCAAGATGTCATCCGTCGAAACCTTTGATGGTATGAAGGATCCATTGGACCACTTTGAAACTTTTAAGACTTTGATGCAACTGCACAACGTCCTTGACAAAATCATGTGCAGAGCATTTCCAACCACCTTGAAGGGATCCGTTCGATATTGGTTCGCTAAGATCACCCCCGCTTCCATTGGCTCATTTGCTAAGCTGAGCAGGTCACCAGAAGCCTGCCACCCACATGCTCATTATAAAGCAGGACCCAAATGAGAGCCTGCGAAGCTACCTCATTCGTTTTAATAAGGAGGTCCTTCAGGTCGAAGAGCCCGATGAAAAAGTCAGCATGACCGCCTTCTTGGGAGGCTTTTGGTCATCGAGCTTCTTTTTCTCTACGATGAAACGTCCACCAAAGAGCATGTCAGAACTATTGACAAAAGTTCAAAAATTTATGAATGCTGAGGAAATCAACAAGTCCAGGCGAGGTGAATCATCTCACGGATTGCCAAAAACTTGACCTGCCTCTACACTGTTCTTAAATAAGTAGTTTATCTTCAACTTAGTGGCTCTTTCGAGGGTCGCCAAAAAGCTTGACCTACCTCTACACCGTTCTTAAATAGGTAGTCTATCTCCAACTTAGCGACTTTCTCGAGGGTTGCCAAAAAGCTTGCCTACCTCTGCACTGTTCTCAAATAGACAATTTATCTCCAGCTTAGCGACTCTCTCACAGGTCGCCAAAAAAGCTTAGCATCTGCTCTGCTCTCAAGCAAGTAACCTATACCTCAAGCTTAAAGACTCTCTCATGGGTCGTCAAAAACTCGGTCTCAAAAGGTGTAGCTCTCTCATAAGCAATCCTCAAACTTTGACTTGCTCTCGCGCAAGCAGCCTGCCTCTCTCTTCAGGTAATCATGTTAAATATTTTAATGTTTGGAATAACATTATTTTTGTCATCATAAGCAGGTTCACCCCATCTCAGCTCGGCTGCATAGAACTGTTGTGGGGATGTGATAAGCATAAACAATCCTCAGAATATCATGGAAGAATTTGATTTTGAGAAGGTGCACTGAGAGGAGTTGGACCATCACCACTGAAAGTGTCTGGCGTACTCTACCCCCGGGCTCCAGAACCAGGCTCACCAAGAAATTCCTGGGCAACCCCGCCTGCATGGGCGAGAACTGAACT